CCCCAAAACCCCAAAACCCCAAAACCCCAGACAGTGATATGCAACTTGAAGTTCAAATATAAAAACTAAAATTATAAAATTTTGTAATTTAGTCTATTTCACAAAACTTAGAGATATTTTGAACTGAGAATTTTAGGAGATTACAAAATTAGAATATTAAGAGGAGAATTGGACAAAATGTTGAATAGAAGAATTAATTAATACAGAGCCTTGCTTTGAGAAACCTCCTTTAGATTTGAGTGAATTGTCTGAAAGGGATTCTACTCTGTTTAATTCTTGTAGTGTGGGTTTATTCGAATTTAATAATGCCAGATCCTTTGCGGCCTAATAATTCATTGTGTCCTTCAACATATTCAGATGAAAGGCTACTATCGGTCTAAATTGTTTTACTTATAACCTTACTATTCCACTTGGAGTTTCATTTTTCGGTCCAACTCTTGAAATAGTCAGCTCACTTTCTGTTGTAGTTGACTCGATTATCTAAATTAGTATTATCCATTTATATTATGATCGACTCTACTAGACTAAGTATGCCTTAAAGATTATCAATAATTTAAAAAAGTTTACTAAAACAATTCTTAAAGTTCATGACCAAAAAGAATTTTAAACTTAGAAAATTTAAAGAAAGCCGTACCTTCTTTGTAAATTTATAAACACCCTTTTTTGGGATAGTTTTTGGCTTCCTTGGCCCTTTAGAAGTCTTTCTCTCTTCCTTATACACATTCTTATTTTCATATTTGGCTCTACTCTTTGAAGTCCTGACCATCTTTGGCTTTCGAGGAAGCTCTTTTGATTCTTCCTTAGGATTTTCAAATTTACCTAAAGAATTAGATTAATATACTCTTGTATAGAGTTTTGTGAGATTTTAGTTCTTTATTTTCAGCTTCCAAAGAAGCAATACAACTTTTATATTTCTCATTTTCTTCTTTAATGTCATCTTTGATTCTGAGTAAATCTGAAATTTTGTTCTGGCTATTTCCTAGTTCTAACTCCATTTTAATAATTTGAGCTTCCTCTTTAGTAACGGGATATTTTTGTTCCAAATATCCTGATGGGAATCTAAACTTGGTTACTTCCTTTTTCTTACTGGAGCTGTTCTTGAAGCTATAGTTTGAGTAGAAATGCTCACAATTAAATCTGCAAATCTTTGTTCATCTTCATGACTTGAATAGCCTAGATTGGTCAAGATGGAATACAAATTGTGATCCTTTTTCCTTTCATGATTCTCTTATGACCGTTGATATAATCTTTAACAGTCTATTTTTAGGAGGAAGTATTACCTTGACCACAGTGTTTGCATACAGTTTGGTTGGTATTCTTGATCTCTCAGTACAGAATGATGGAATCAATATCGATTCTACATTAATTTTAAACTGTTGTTCTTCAAAGTTATTGATTATTTACTCTAAACTTCTACAGAAATATCTAATTTTAGGCATAAATTTCAGCAAGAACAATTTTAATTCATAAAAGATTAAAATTAGAATTGTTAATTATTTATCGTATGATAGGATTGAATTATTAAAGAAATTATTTTTATCGAATACATCTTGAATTAACTTCTAAGCTGTTATCCAATGCAGTAATTACAAATAAAAGCACTTACTTAATTGATATATGTATGAAAGATATAATACTCTTTTTATAGTTTTGTTAAGGAAATAGATAGATTTGTTTTCACCAAATTCTTTATCATAATCAGGACAATATGCTGCAATAATCTTATCAAACTTCAAATTCCCTGCTGGGAACACAGCTGCGTCTCCCATTTTCATTGTCTTATACTGCTCAGCATAAACTTTACAAGCATTCTCAAATTCCTGTCCGGCCTTCTCCAATACATTACTAAAATCATCTGCTAAGCAACTCAAACTCAATCTTCCTTCAACAGGTAATACCATTGCACTTGAACTCTCATCTACTACTTCTCTGACTCTCTTCAGCCCAATGATTGCTCCTTCATATTCCATGTACATGCTCTCTTGGTCCTGCTGCTTCCTTCTCCTCTGTAACTCTTTGACCTGTCTCTCCCACTTGGTTTGGTCTATTCCAGTTAATCAACTTGGGTGAACCTACCTTGTAAGTGGCCTTGCTTGATGTACAGTAGCAGCAGTAATTTAACCTTAGTTCTTCACAGAGTCTCTGAGTGGGAAGTGTAGGTGGATATGCTCTTGGGAGAGGAGGTAGGAGAAGCTGGCTGGGCAGATTTGTAGGAAGTGGAGATAGTGTTGAGGAAAGAACTGAGGGTTTTGGTGATGGAATTGGATCTGGAGGTGAGAGTGGAATGGGCTTTGTGTAGGGATTTTACGTTTTCTTTGAATTGTTTGTGTTTATTTATATCTCTGAGGGATTGGATTAAGGCGCAATTTTGAGAGCTAAGTTCTTCTTGTTTTTTGTGATATCTTTGTATCTCAGAGTTATATTTCTTTGTTTCGATATCTAATTTCATATTAATAATCTTACTCATGGTTTTTAAATACTGAACTAACTTAGTTTCATTGCTATTTTGAACATTTAAACTATCATTCATATGCTTCATTGATTTCTGAGCAATCTGCTTCCAATTGTCAATATGCATATTTAATTTCAACTTTCCTTCATCATATTGCTGCTTAAATATTTTTGCTCTTGTATATAACACAGTATATTCCTTAAGAAGTTTATTATATCTCTCCTCATCAATCTCTTTTCTCTGGACCTCGATATTAAGTTGACCTAATTCTCTATCGGTTGAATCTTCTATTTCTTTTTGTTTGATTTCTTCTTTAAATTTAAATCTTTGGCTTTCCACTTCTTTTTGATTTCCTATAACTCATTAGCTTGTCCAATTAAAACACTCTATTTCCATATCCAGCGAGAAATCTTTCTTCATTAAATTTTTAATCATAAAAATAGTGCAGTAAGTAGTAAGGCCAATTTGTTTAATTTATGCGACATTTTAAAACAAGTAAATAATCTTATCAACATTCGCAAAAGTTCTGAATAAAAGGTTAAGATATTCACCCAGCCAAGACTTTATTCTAAACTCGGGTTCAACTCTACAGCCCCACTTTAACAAAGAAAATTTAGTATTGACTCTGGAAATGAGATTTTAAGAGCTTACTTTTAGGCGTGGTTTTAGCTGGGATTTGGGGAGGTTTGGGGGATGATTTAGGGCTGTTGGCTAGAGTTATAGTGTTGGATTTAGGGGTAGTGCAAGAAGAGAGGGCTGAATGGGGGTCTAGAGGGAGGTTAGGAAGTAGAGGGGGTCAATACCTTTGGTCTCTCCTTTGGTGGTACAGGATTGAGTCATTTCTATGACATTTCGGCAAAATGTTATGATTTTAAGGATGTCTTGCTTGAATAATTTTTCTTGATTAATAATTGTGTTAAAATATTGTTCCCATTCTTCATTTCTTGGTTCTCAAAATGCAAGGAAAATCTTAATTTGTTGTAGTTTAGCATTCAATTTTGTGAATAATTTGAATAACTTCTTTCAACTTCCTTTTTGGTCTAACAATTTAGATTCACAAATTACTTGGCATCAGATCATTTATTTTCTTCTTTTCTTCAACAAGTGAAGTCAGAGGTATCTCTTGATATTGGCTAGAACAATGAATAAGTACAAATATAACAGATTTAAATTAGAACTCTATCATTTCTTTTAATACAGAAATCTGATTTCTAAAAAGTTTGAATTTTAATTCAATTAAGCAAATCACAAGAAACTTAATGACGTTCAAAGATCTAAATTCTGAGCTAGACAATTTACATATAGTATTTGATAGAAACAAATGAGCTTTTGTGGCAATAAATATTCTAAGTGGAACCGTGGAAAATAAATTTGGGTTGCCAAGTTCCTTCAGTTTTTAAATAGAGTTATAAATTAAAAAATATCACTTAGCCTTTGTTTAGGGATTTTAATTATTTAGTGACATATTTAAAAAATTGAGAGTGATTATATCAATTGTATAAGTTAATAATTTGGGCAGTTAAACAAAAGAAAACTCTTACTTTATGATAAAGTACGCATATCCATTTGACTCTTCTCTTTGTTTGACATAATCTTGCACTATTTTTCTGTGAATCTTTGAATTTAAGTTCTTCTATGAAAATAATAGTAAAATATGATAAATAGAGTTAATGCTGGCTTTTAATCAAGTAAAAATATCTGAAAATTGTATAATTATACTTTGAATTTGGCGATAAATTTTTTAGAGGAAAGCAAGAAATAAAAATTCTTCAAATTATTTTTATCGATACAATAGAATTAGTATGTCAAGAAGTAATGTATTTAACTTAGTTGAAAATATGGTGAATGTTTCAAGCACAAATTTGGTAGAAAATAAAACCAAACAAGGTATTTTTAATATCATAAGTCATTGCAAAGCTTAAAATACCTATTTTTACATCCTTTTACTTGATAATAACCATACTATACCCTAACCAAATGCATTCTATAATTCCTTAATGCTCATTATCTCCTAAAACCTCTTCTACTCTTGACCAGCCCTCCATTCTTGCTTACAATATCCAGGAACATCTGATCATTTTCTTTCTTGACTTTGAAGTATTTTTTGGAGAGCTCAATAATTTTACCTATGACTCAAAGTTAGTATGAACCTTATCAGAATTTTCAAAGAGATAAGTCAACTTGGGCTGCGAGTTGACTCTTCCAGAAGAGAAATATAATGACAGTAACCATTTTTAAAGAATAAGGAGATTAAACTTTGATCTCAGGTTTTAGCAGAGTTTTGATTAAATGCTCAATAATTTAGAAGAGTTTGGTAGTCAGAAATAAATGAAATAACTCTCAAGTAATTAATTTATAAAAAGTTTTTGACTTCCCTTATCTCTGCAAATATATTATTTTATGAAAGTAACTACCTTCATTTAAAGCAATATGACAAACTATAAAACCTCTTAAATCTCTATTCATATGAAATGATGAATTTATACAACTTTTAAGGAAATGATAGCAAGCTAAGTTAAATTAAATTAGACATTAACCAAGCTTATATCTAAACTCTCTATTTTATATTTTATTTAAATCCTAAAAGAAGGACAAAGGTATTTAATTGTCTCCAGTTGCTTCTAATATAGTAAAAACCACACCCATATCAAAATATGAGTCCTATTTTGAGGCTTCAACACAAAACTCTTTCTTACCAAAATCGATATCTCTAGATTCCTCAGATTGGAAATTAATTTTCTCTAACATATCTTTGTCTTTGCTTTTTGCTTCAGAATCCATGACTTCTACAAACATATCAGTAAGTTTTAAAGAGTAAATGAAGAAGACATATGATTAAGTTTAAATATATACCTCTCTTTTCAATTTTGAGAGGCCCAGGATGAGCATCACTAGGCTCTGTGAGATATCTATCTTTGGACATAAATTTCCGAGGTTGGCCGATCGTTGATGAACAAGAATCTATAAGATTAATAATTGAGACTCAAAAGACCTGAAGGTAAAGGTTTTATTAAAACTACACAGACTAGGATATTTTCTGTTCTTCTTTGTAGAAATATTATTTAAATTGAATGAATTTTTAGCAAGAATTTGCTCTGATCTCCAAGCTTTTATGATTTTTCATAAAATTGATATTTATTTGATCTTACCTTGCTTTCTTGAAACAGAATAACTCTTTGGATTGATTAAAGCTCTTTGATCTTTCTTTTCATTTCTATTGCTCCATTGCTGACGTTGAGGGGTTAGTTTCAAATCTTCATTTTGAAGAAATGATTTACTTGTTCTCTGACTCCTTTCTTTTCTAATGTTCATTACTCTGTTATTTCTAGTATCTTCAACTGATCGATCTGTTATTGTTTCATTTTCAAAGTCAAAACTCAGGTCTTCACTATTCTTAGAGGAAGCCGGATTGTCATTATGCAGAAAATTAGTATAAATTGATTTGAACTTATTAAAAACGCTAGAAACAAAGTGTCCTTCTTTATTCTTATTTTCTTGGTTGAAATCACTAGTATTCTCTTGCGAGACATTAACATTAGTTTTGAGCTCTTCTTTTTGACTCTCTAGTTTTTCGATGAAATTTCTAGGATCTTTGGTAAGATTAAATTTAAGCTCTTTCAACTGGGTTTCGCGAATGTTTTGGAGCTCAGAAATCAATTCGTTGTGAGTTTGGACATTAATGGAGTCTAAAACTGGAAATTTGGATAATTTCAAAGGATCTGGAGGACTGATCATTCGTTCTGGAGAGCTTGTCAGCAATTCTGATGCTTCAGAGTCAAACTTATCTGCTATCGGCTTATCTAATAGAGATCAAACAATCTTTTCTCTTAAAACTTACTTATATCTTGTTCAAGGCTTGCAATTGAATCTGATATAGATTGAAGATCTTTCTGAACTTCAGATGAAACATTGTCAAGATCTTTCTCTATTATATTTTCTTGATTGGCACATTTTTACAATTCTCTTCCTTATCATTCTGATCTCTATGGCCACTCAAAACCTCGGCCTCCTCTTTCACAGCGTTGATTACTACATCAATCTCCTTTTTCAGGATCACTTCATTCCTATCAATAACCTCTTTGACCTCCTCCACTCTCTTCTGCCTCTCTTCAAAGTCTTCAGGTAGTCCTTCGAAGCTGGCTTCCTCCATCCTTTCCTTCACCGCCATACATTCCTTCAGGAGGTTTTGATCGATCATTTGTATGGCTTCTTGATATTCTCCTCCCCCAAAAATGTAGCGAATCTTTGGATTGGAACGTTTTTGTTCTTCTTCGAGTTCTATAAGAGTTAACAAAAGCGCTTTCAGGTTAGTTCACCTTCTTTATTGACTTCTTGGCCAGGGATTCTACCATGCAGGCTTGCTCCACCTAGGTTTATAGATGCGTCCATCATAAATGAATTTTATAGTAATACTTTACTATTTTCTTTAAATAAAAGGGGTTTTGGGGTTTTGGGGTTTTGGGGTTTTGGGG